CCCTCCTCCTCACCCTCCTCCTCAACCTCCTCCTCAACCTCCTCCTCACCCTCCTCCTCACCCTCCTCCTTCCCATCCCCATCATCTCCCTGTCCATTCTTCCCATCCCCATTGTTCCCATCCATCTCCTCCCCACCCTTCTCCTTCCTATCCCCATCATCTCCCTTTCCATCCTTCCCATCCCCCTCCTTCCCACCCTCCTCCTCCCCATCATCTCCCTTCCCATCTTCCCCATCCCTATCCTCCCCTTCCTATCCTCCCTCACCCTCTTTCTCACCATCCTCATCATCTTCCCCATTCTTATCCTCTCATCCCTCTCATCTCCCCATCCATCCTCCCCATCCCCATCCTCCCAGTTTCCATGTCCATCCTCCCCATCTCCCTCCTCCCCATACATATACTCCTCATCTTCATTCTCCCCATCTCCATCTTCTTCATCTCCATTCTCTTCACCTTCATCAACTTTTCTCACATTATTGGGACTTAAACCCAAGGTCTCATATTTGTCAGGCAAATACGTTACCAGGGCACTACATCAAAGTCCTTCTTTCCATGCTGGCCTGGAACCTGTGATCCCCCTGTCTTAGGTTACCAAGGCTGTCTTCCTGTCTTCACTAATGATGCTGTGTTTGTCTATGATCTTCATCAGCATCATCATCTTCTTCCCCATTCACTGTCTTCATCTCCATCACCACCACATCTTTACCACCACTACCATCATGTTGACCACATCACCATCTTCAACAACACTATCTCCACCTCATCATCTTCACCACCACCACCATTTCCATTATCATCATCATCATCTCCTCCACCACCACCACCACCATTTCCATCATCATCATCATCTCCACCACCACCACCATCTCCACCATCGCCACCACCATCTCCATCATCATCATCTCCTCCTCCACCACCACCACCATTTCCATCATCATCATCACCATCATCTCTGTCACCACCATCATGGTCTCTGTCAACACAACCATTTTTATTATCACCACCACTGTCTTCTTCACCAGCGTCTCCCATCTTCAGCAGTGACAAAAGCATCGCCATTGCCCTCACCCCACCCTCACTGCAATGCCCACGAACATCTCCTAGGCCAGGCACCACACTTGCCTGCTATGGATGCCACTCCAGTCTTCCTCCATGGTGTCCACTCCTCGCCACTTCTCCTTGAAAGGGCAGCAACTGAGGCTCATAAAAGATGAAGTGACCTACTACCAGCACATGGCTGGAAAGTGCCACCCTGAAGTGAGAACCGGACTTCCTGCTCTTAGCCACCTCTCTGCCATACCCACTCAGTGACTGCTAACTGCGCTTGTCTGAGAATGGACAAGAGGCATAGTCCCTCCTCTGCATTTCTCCCCCTGGTTTGAGACCACAGCCCCAGCCTGTCTTGTGGACTAATACTCTTCTTCAAAGTTGCTCCCTGGGTGGGGCCTGCCTATTGATGAGGGTGAGCTAGCAAAGGGCCACATCAAAGCAGGCCAGGGTGCTTTCAGAAAGGCAATTTACAAAATAAAACAAAACAAAAGGCCTGTGGTGGGGAGCCTCAGCTTTTGCTGCCCAGCGTCACCAGCACAATCAGACAGGACCTGGGCACTAGGGCTGCTCTCTGAACAATGAGGCACAAGATGTGCACCCAGCGGTACAAGTGGACTGCTCTCCTCAGGCCCCTTGAGGGAAGGAGCCTGGGGATCCTGGAGATAAGCGTAGGCAGCTGCTGCCTTCAGCTGCCACCTGACTTCCAATGCCTCAAACCACTCTTAAGCATTCATTAATGTCCGCACTTTGCAGACTTAGGAACATCTGGGTCTGGAGGTCTGAAGCCTGGCTCTGGGGCCTGTCCTGGGTCACTGGAATTCACCAGCGGCAGTTCCTGGTGCAGCTTTGTTTGGTGTGCATTGGGTTTTTCTGGGTTATTGAGTTAGTGACTGCGTGAGGACCCGTGTTGGAATCCGTCTCTAAGGGTTCAGCCTGGAGACTGAGGATGGGGCACCACTGGTAGAGTGCTTGCCTGGCAGGCATGAAGCTTTGGGATTCAGCAAGGTGTGGTGGTGTACGTGTGCCATCCCAGCACCGGAGAGGCTGCGGCAGGAGGATCAGAACTTCAAAATCTTCCTTGGCTACATAGCAAGTTCAAGTCCAGCCTGGGCTACATGAAACCCTGTTTCAAAAAACTAAATAGGCAGGTACATGCCTTTAATCTCAACACTCAGGAAGCAGAGGCACAGGCAGGCATATCTCTATGAGTTCAAGGCCAGCCTGGTCTACATATCTACATTAGTGAGACCCTGTCTCTAAACAAACAAACAAACAAATGTTTAAAAAACAGTCTAACTTGGGCAGAGAGTTCTCATTGGTCATCTCTCTGACACAGTGGTTCTCAACCTTCCTAATGCTGCTAAGCTTAATATAGTTCCTCATGTTGTGGTGACCCCACTTCCACCCCCACCCTCCTGCCCATCATAAAATTACTTGGCCGGGCGGTGGTGGCACACGTCTTTAATCCCAGTATTCGGGAGGCAGAGCCAGGCAGATCTCTGTGAGTTTGAGGCCAGCCTGGGCTACCAAGCGAGTCCCAGGAAAGGTGCAAAGCTACACAGAGAAACCCTGTCTCGAAAAACCAAAAAAAAAAAAAAAAAACCAACAAACTTTTGTTGCTACTTCATAGTTGTAATTTTGCTACTGTTATGAATCCTGATATGTAGGATGTCTGACATGCAACTCCTGTGAAAGGGTCATTTGATGCCCCCATGGGGTCACGACCCACAGATTGAAAGCCTTTGCTCTGGCAGCGTGGCCTCCTCCCCACACTGACCACCTGCCTCACCCACAGTGACAGTGCAGCAGCCCGGCAGCGGGGCTCTGGCCCCAGCTCTGGATGTCTAGCCCCTTAGCTAAAGGTACTCTCTTCACCCCTTTAGGCATCCTCCTATGACCTGGGGATCAGACTCACGTCACTGTCTGAGGAAAGGCCAGTGTGTTCAGCTTGACATTGACATGAGGGGATGATTCCTGAAGATTCCTGCTGTCTCCACCACTGAGACTATCACAGGGACTGGTCCCCCAACGTGGACACCTTAGCTACTGCCGTAATGTCTGCTCAGGTAGGATGCTAGAATGGTGCTGTTGACCCTCTTGCCACACCATCGTCAATGCGATGGCTGCTGCGAGGGGCAGGTGCCAGGCTGCCCAGGCCTCCAATCTCCCTGGTCTCTGACTCTGGAAGCTACAGCTGCTGGACCACTCATTGGACTCTGACCCCGCCCCACAAAGCCAACAGACCCAGCTCTGCAGTAGTCTAGGCCCAAAGGGATGCTGTGCAAGGAGGGGGGGGGGGGGCTGCCCTACCAGCCTGGCACCCGGGCTGTGAAGGTGCGCCAGACAGCAGCTGCCCGGACTGTCCTTTCTTCTCCCAGCTTTTTGTTCAGCCCTTTTGATTTGAAAACAAGGCTCCTTTATGCATCGAGGGGCCTCCCCAAGCTTCACCGTCCCACCCATGGCTGGTGATTTCCTTTTCATCTGGCGCTGGGAGCGCGACAGCCGCAGGAGGGACCTGATGGTGTCACAGAACCTGGGTGACTCAGCTTTCAGTGGCATTGTGGCCTCGGAGCTTTGATATCACAAGTGAGCGTCACAACAAAGGAGCTTCGAGGGGCTTCAGCAAGGTGAGGCTGCGCTGAGGGCCCCCCGTGGCTCTCTGAAAGGAGGCTGTGTCTCAGGAGAGAAGATTGGCCTGTGACCCTGACTCTCAAGGATGACATTGAGCTGGTCTGCCAGCCGGGGTCTGCACCGGGGATAGTGGCGGCTGGCTCCTCACCTGCCCTTAGTTCTCGGTTCCCACAGGAGGCTGCAGCAGCTTCTCTGGCCCCTGGAGGCTTCCAGGCAGAATGATTTGGCAGGTCTCCAGCCTGGGCCAGCTGGGTCAGCCTGGAGGGGGGCCACCAGAGCCACCACACTCTCAGCCTGCACACCTGCCAGACCACAGGGCAGGACCTTTGGAGAAATGAATGCCATGAGCTCCCAGGACCATGGGACCTTGTGTCAACTAGGGAATTTCCATGCCTCAGTTTCCAGGCACCACGAGGGTGGATAATGATGCCATACAGGACTTGGAGAAGTAGCTACGTGGCCCTTGCTCTGTGACAGCTTGAGCATGGTCACCCCTTTGTCCACGTGTTCTGCTTGGTACGGGAGAGGCTTGTGATAAAGAACATGAGGCTTGCGGCCCGGTGGGTCTGCCCAACGCTGGCCAAGCAAGGGAGTCTTGGCCCCTTGCCCTGCCTCCCTGGCCTTCAGAGCCTCCTCCACGAAGTGGGTTAGGCACTGACCACAGGGGAGTTCAGTGGAAGTCACTCAGTGACAATAAGAAAAGAAAACTGGGCTGGGGGTGTGTCTCAGTTGGGTGAGTGCCCGCCTAGCGTGCACAAAGCCCTTAGTTCAGTCCTCACTCACAAGCTGAGCAGAGAAGCACATACCTAGAATCCTAGCACTCAGGAGGTGAAGCAGGAGGGCAGACTTCAAAGCTAGCCTGGGCTACACAGGCAAACCTAAGCTGAATGAGACCTTGCCTCAAATAAAACGTTCAAGGTCATTAGGGGGAGGGCAGAGGTGGGGGGGGGGAAGGAGGGAGGGCAGGAGAATCCGGAAAAAAAAAAAAGAAAAAAGAAAAAAGAAAGAAAATCAAAGATGAATAAACCTGGGTGCCTTGTTATTATCAAAACAAAAGTTCAAGGTCATCCTCAACTACGTAATGAATCAGAGGGCAGACTGGGCTAAATAAGATTCTATCTGTAAAGAAAAGAACTCATAAAACCAAAAGAAGCCATTCAAGGTTTGGCTTGTGCACTGTCTCCATGGCAATAGTGCATCTCCAAGGTTGGCTGGCAGACTGGGTGGCAGAGGCAGGAAAGCACAGTGATCAAGGCTTGGCTGGGAGGAATCTCAGCTGACTTTAGATCATGGGTTCTTTCTAATGCCCTGATGGCCCTGAGCGGCCTTGGTTCTCTGAATCTCAGATTCCTGTTCTATAAAGCAGAGTCAATGACACCTCTGGGTCATTGGATGAGTTAAAGGTGTCATTGGAGGGCTGTGAGGTCACCCACCACATGATTATCCCTCTTGCCTTAGGTGTTTGGCCCAGCTAAGTTTTGGGAAAGAAGCGGGGTTGGAAGGAATCCTTCCGGAGATCTCTGAGGTCATGGTCCCTGCAGAACGTCAGAGGCTTGCTCCACAGCGTGGAGATAGTTAGAACAGAGAAGAGCTGCCCAGAAACTGCCCTGCTCACCCTGTGATGCTGCTGCCCGCAGTGTCTGTGGCCACCTACTAGGCGGATGCTGCATGGATGCTGCACAGTATTGCTTATGGGGTGTCTGACCTTTTGCTGGCAGAACAGCTGGCTGTCTTGTATCACCAGTCAGGCAATTGAAGGTCAGAGTTCAAGACCTTGTGCAAGTCGCAGGACTGGCCAGCTAGGGGTTGGGGGTGGACCTGGAGCACAGGGACGCTACCAAGAAGGTAGAGGTCAGCTGCCCACGGATGACCAGGTGGGGGTGTCATGGAGACTGTCCTTGCTCTGAGGGTATCTAGGTTCTCTCCATCAGCTCACATAACCCCTGGTGACAAGGTGCCGGGAACTTAGGCAGAGTCTTGATGGGGTTTTAAAAAATGATCATCAGGTCTCTGATCCTCCTCCCATGAAGAAGTGGCTTTGTGTCCCCTCCCCTCAAGTCCTGGTGACTGTGTTTCGCTTGTAACAAACAGGATTGGATGAGAGTGACCGTGGGTGGCGGCAGAGGCAGCCCCTCCCAGAAAGCCCTATGGTTCCTGCTTTGTTTCTTAGCAAGGCTGCTCTAAGGCAGAAGCCCCCCACCCCCACACCACATGCCCCGGAGTCCAGCATGGCGGCCCCAGCCCCAGCTGGTCGAGCCTGAAGCAGTACTACACACAGGAGTGAAAGCAGCCTTCACACCTTCTATTTCCATCTGCGGTCCTCTTCTCTCGGCCTTCCTGTCTCTCCAGCTGTGGCCAAGCAGCCTGAGGGAGCTGAGCAGCTCCCCTTGTCCTGACTGGTGGAGTCGGGGTGATGTGCTGAGTCCCAAGCCGGCTTGTTAGCAGCAGTGGAGACAGACACCACATTTCCAGAGGCTGCTTAACAATCAGACAGTTCACACAACAGCCCCGATACTCATGGTGAGCTCCGGTCAGCTCAGGAGGAAGCAGGCTGTGTAGACAGCAGTCCAGGGATGAGCCAGCCCCAGCTGTGTGAACCTCCTAAATTGCCCATGGGGTGGGGGGTAGTTTTGTCAACTTGACACAAGCTAGGATGACCTGGGAAGAGCAGGGCAGTGAGGGACTGTCTGGGTCGGCTTGGCTTGTGGGGTAGGTAGTTCTAGGTTAACTGAGGTGGGAAGACACGTCCTGAGTATGGAAGGTACCACGCCCTGGGTTGTCCTGGACTGCATAAGAGCAGAAAAACTCTGCTAGAGTGTGCGTGGATCGATTCACTTTTCTCTGCTCCGAGTGTGGGTGTGACATTAGCAGCTGCTTCAAGCTCTTGCTGCCTTGAATTTCCCGTCATGATGGGCCATGAGCTGGAATGGTGAGCTAAAACAAGACCTTTCTCCCTGTCTTAGTTAGGGTAGCTATCGCTTTGCTGAAACACCGAGACCAAACGCATTAGGGTCCTCTTGCTCCCTACTTCAAGACGAGTCGTGTGGGTAGCAGTTCGGGGAGGAAAGGGTTTGTTTGGCTTACGTATCCTGCATCATAGTCCACTGAGGGAAGCCAGGGCAGGAACTCTAACAGGGCAGGAACCTGGAGACAGGAGCGGATACAGAGGCCACGGAGGGGTGCTGCTTCCAGGCTTGCTCCTCGTGGCTTGCTCAGTCTGCTTTCATATAGAACCCAGGATAATCAAGCCAGGGGGAGCTGTGTGACCTTCCTGAGTCCTTATCTCTCTGGGCCTTCCTTCAACCATGAGTAAGGTATCATACAGAGGGGGCTCCTGGTTCTCAAGGTTTCTGAATGGAGGTCTGCTTCTGCTCCTTCCTCATGCCAAGAGGTTATCATGTCTGCACCAGCTTCTCAGACATTAACAACTCTATATCATGAATGCTTTGTTAATTTGTTTGGGTTTAAGCTTTTGGCTTTTTGAGACAGGATTCTACTTTAGCCTTGGCTGGCCTGGAACTCTCTATACTGGCTCCCAACTAATGACAATCCTCCTGCCTCATCTTCTTGAGTGCTGAGATTCCAGGCATGCGTGCATGAGCCAACAACGGGGAGACTCCTTCCTCCATCCCACACCCAACCAAACAGCATTATCTAGTAACCTCCATACAGCATGTGGTGTGCATATGTGGACACACACACATACACACAATCAATTAGTCAGTCAATAATAAATGTATAATAATAGAGACATATAGCTGAGCATGGTGGGGTATGCCTTTAACCCCCGTACTCATGAGGCGGAAGCAGATGGATCGCTGTAAATTCGAGGCTAGCCTAGTCCACACAGCAAGTTCTAGGCCATCCAGGGCAACACAGCAAGACCCTGTTTCAAATAAATAAATATTAACTCATTTAATCCCGTAACCATCCTAGTGGACAGGGACCAGCCACAGCTCCTTTTCAGAAAAACTGAAGCTCAGAGAACTCAAGCCCCTGCCTAGAGGTGCTCAGCAGTGGAGGGCAGTACTCCTGGCGGAGGTGGAACACTGCCTGGACCCACGCCTCCTTCAGGACCTTTCACTGAAGAGCTCAGAGAGTGAGGACTGTGTGCCCCTCGGGGAACACAAGAGCAGAAACCAGAAGACAAGGAATCGTGTGTGCATCTTCTCAAATGGAGGACAAGATATATCCACGTCCTCACTTGAAAACATGACACCAGTCATTACCTGAGGCCAAAGAAGACACAAAACCCAGGAGCCAGAGTGATTGGCAGGGAGGGGTGGGGGGCGGGAACGACCTTTCTTCTCTGTTCACTCTAAAGTCCACCGACTCCATTGTCTTTGCAACAAAAATAACTCATTTCCCCATGAATGACTTTCTTTAAAGTGTCACTTCCAAATTCCTGCTGGACTCTCGAGCTGTGGTCGGGTGCCTGCTTGGAAGCAAGAAGCCATTATCTCTTCCCAGCGAATAAGAGTCATCTGCGCAGGGCTTTGATGCTCGGCGGTCCCGAAAAGAAGAATGGCATTTCTCTGGGCATGCTGGAATGTCCGGTGGGTAACCGGACCCACGCAAAAGGACACTGTGACCTCATGTGACGAAGGAGGCAGAGGCTGGGCAGTGGGCTGTGTGGTATGTAACTCAATCGAGCATTTCCCAGAGTCTCAGAGTCTGGGAGCTGCTGAAGGGCCAGTGCACTGCAAATCTCCAGAGAAATATGCATTGAGCTGCAGGGTTCCCCCAGCACCAAATCAAACCCTTCTGGGGTAGGACTGGCAGCCTTGGGGTGCAAAGGAAGCTGATGAACAGCTTCTGTGGACCCACTATGCCAAGGACCTTGAGGTCCTGGCTGTTGAGTCCTGGTATACACAAGAGAGCTGCGCATAAAAGGCCACCTCTCTCAGATGCGTACCTAGGGGTCCTCCACACAGTTGGCACAGTGCAATGGGTCAGACGAAGGGCCAGGGAGGTGGCTCAGTTGGTAAAGTGTTTGCTGTACAAGCATGCTGTTCAAATGCCCAGCAGAATGGATGTAAAAATCCAGGCATAGTGGAGCACTCCTGGGGAGCAGAGACGAGAGGATCCCCAGGCCTCACTGGCCCGCTGATATAACTGAATCTTTGAGCTCCACGTTCAGTGAGAGACTGAATCTCTCTGGTGGCAAGTGATTGGAGAAGATGCTATATGTTGGTTTCTGGCTTCCACATATGTAAGTACACACATGCATGAGCACATATGTGCACACAAACATGAACATGTATACATACACACAGAGAGAAAAACAGACTCTGGCCTCAGAATGACCGGTTCCCAGACAGCTGAGTGCCCAGGTTCCTCATCTGTACAGTGGAGACACTGTCCTTGCTTTTTGGGGTGCTTGCGATGGGGTCTTTGAGGAGCAGAGCACGCCGTGGGCTTTAAGATCATGTGGGCCTTGCCAATTCTAGGTCCCTGACCATTTAGTCATGGGGATTCTAGGTAGGGAGATCTGAAGGGAGGCAAGCCACTCCAGACCGGTGCAGGTGCTGGGCGGGCTCTCGGCAAGCCATCCTGGAGACAGGAAGGAAGAGCCAGGGGTGGAAAGGGAGCCCACACAAGAGGCTGGTGAAGAGAAAGGCTGTCCCTCTCTCAGACACCCTCCCAGGTGAACTTTTCCCTGCCCGTCACTAAAGGCCCAGGGAGAAACAAATGTGCCCTTACCAAACAGGGCAGCCCCTGGTTCCACGACTTTGCAGTCACTTCCCCAACCCAGGAGCCGTGATGGAGTCTCATCCTGGGGCAAAGATAGCTTACACAGAGCAGAGTACTTATGCTGGTACCTTCCTTCCTCAGATGTATGCGGAACCCCGGGAGCCCTAAAGACAGACGACAGACAGCTCTGCCCATGGCTCCTTGGCCAGCACAGCCTGAGTGGGCAGAAGGCACCATAACAAATCTTGTTTGTCAGCTGTGGGGGATCATCTTGATTAGGTTAATTGAAGTGGTATTCTGGTAAGTTTTATTTATGTCAAGTGTTATCAACTTGACACAAGCTAAAGTCACTGAGAAGAGGGCCCCTCAGCTTGCTTCCATCAGCTTGGCCTAAGGCCATGTCTGTGAGGACCTGTCTTAGCTGATGATTGATGTGGGAGGCCCAGCCACCGGAGGCAGTGCCAGTCCTGTGGAGGTGTGCCCAGGCTGTGTAAGAAGGCAGGCTGAAGCTGGACTGTGGTGGCACACGCCTTTAATCCCAGCATTTGGGAGGCAGAGGTGGTGGATCTCTGAGTTCAAGGCCAGCCTGGTCTACAGAGTGAGTTCCAGAACTACACAGAGAAATTGTCTTGAAAAACAACAAACAAACAAAAAACCAAAAAGACAACAAAGGAAAGAAAGCTGCTGAACACCAGCCACAGCGTGAGCCAGCAAGCAGCTTTCCTCCACAATTTGCTGCCTCCAAATCCCTGTCCTGACGTCCTTCATGATGGACTGTTTCCTGGGGGAACAAGCTGAGGTATACCCATTCCTCCTCCACGCTGCTCTCCGGCAGTGTAAATCACAGCGGCAGACGAGGCCCAATGAGAAGAACTGCCTGTGGGTGGAGATGCTTCTAGAGCTATCCAGTTCCCCGTATGTGGACATGAAAAGAAGTGGGAGAAGACACTAAATCAGGGAGGCCAGCCTGCCCCTCCCCCAGCTGGGGCTGCGCAGGAGGTCCTCAGAGGGGAGGACAGGCCTAGGACCCAGTGAGGGGCCCTGCCTGGCTTGTGCGGTGAAAAATCTCTGGCAACCTTACAGGGTGCACTGTCCTTGCCCGGTCTGCGGTCCCTCAGTGCGGTACTCACCTTTCTCACTACTGTGAAGAAACACCTGACAAAAGCAGAGGAAGGAAGGAGGAAGGGAGGAGGGAGGGAGGAGGGAGGAAGAAAGGGAGGGAGAGAGGGAGGGAGGAAGGGAGAAAGAGAGAGAGAGAGGGAGGGAGGGAGGCAAGAAAGGATGGAGGGAAACAGGCAGGAAGGCAGGAAGGCAGTGGCTTGATTTGGCTCACAGTTCTGAGGACACAGTCCATCATGCTGAGGGAGAGCCATGGCAGAGTTTAAGGGATCTGGTCACACAGCATCCACAGTCAGGAAGCAGAAAGTTGAATGCTGGTGCCCAACTCACTTTCTCTTTATAATCCTGTCTGGGACCCCGGCCCATGGGATGTTGCCCCCCACATCAGGGTGGGTCTTCCCCTTTGTTAAACTTCTCTGGAAACCCCCTCAGGGACCTGCATGGAGCTCTCCCAGGCAATTCCAAATCCTGTCCAGATGACAGTGAAGGTGTCCCAGATGGCTCACTTAGCAATATGGTCAGGCCAGCTAGAACTGGCAGTCTCTCAAGAGCCTTCCCAAAAGGATCAACTCTGGGCTTCAGAGTCCGGCTCGGATGAAGCCAGGCCAGCCTGGCTGGGCCCTGAGGAACCCCATACGAACACTCTGGGAGCCTCAGGCAAGGGTCAGTCCCACCACCACCAAGCTACTCGAAACCTGTGGGTGGTTATGGAAGCTGAGGAGAGCTAGGGAGAGAAGTATGCTCTTGATTCAAGGGAAGTATGCTCTTGATTCAAGGGAAGTATGCTCTTGATTCAGGGGAAAAGGTCTAGTTCACAAGCGGCCCTGCAGAAGAAGAAGAGTTCTGGTATGAACTACATAAGCAGATAAATGCATGAGGCAGGTGACGGGCACTGAGAGCCGCTGGGGTGGGAGAGAAGGGGTGATGTGAATGATTGAGGGGTGGGGAGAGGAGATTAAACAGCTCTCTCATAGAGTTGGTGCAGTGCTTGCATGGCCCCGGGTTGGATCACCAGCACTGCAACACACGGCATAATGATGTTCAGCAGCAGAGGCAGGGGGATCAGAAGTTCAGGGTCATCCTCAGCCACACAGCCAGCCTGGGACCACAAGACCCTGTCTCAAAAGCAAAACAAAAAATAACAATAAAATAAATAAAATGGCATTATAAGTGGCCCGTGGTTGTGGCTGCAGAATGCTGAACGGACAGGATGTCTAAGCCAGCAACCTGACTGGTGTGTGTACAGTGCCTTACACCTCAGCAACGTTGCTGTAAAAATAAACATGCGCCAGGCGATGGTAGCGCACACCTTCAATCCCAGCACTCGGGAGGCAGAGGCTGGCAAATCTCTGTGAGTTCGAGGCCAGCCTGGGCTACAGAGTGAGTTCCAGGAAAGGTACCAAAGCTACACAGAGACACTCTGTCTTGAAAGACCAAATAAATAAATAATCAAACCAACAGATAGATAGATAGATAGATAGATAGATAGATAGATAGATAGATAGATAGATAGATGATAGATAGATAGATATGCTTGTTTGCATGGAAGAAACAGCCTGAGGGGATGGACCATCTACAGGTGCCTGACTGTCCCCATCCCTGGGACTGGCACTGTCACCAGCAGGTGGGAGTCAAGCTATAAAACTTGGGCTTTCTCTAGATTTGGGAAAGGCTGAGTTGAAAATCAAAAGCCATAAGCAAAATCTTACATCTGGGAACATGGGGGTGGGGGCGTGTCGTAACTAAGGCCATCGAGTGTCGAGGGGACGCAAACTCCCCAGTAAAAGGTATCTAGGAACATTGACATCTCAAGAGACACAAGCCACCAGACAAGGGGGCGAAGCCCAGCCCTAGTAGCCAAGCACTTCCCTTCTGCTTTGTCTGGGACTCCATGTCGGAACCCTGTGTCTCCCAGGCTTTCCTGTGAAGCCCTCCCACGTGGGAAGGGAGGACGGGGAAAGGCCTGTGATCTGGCAGAGTTCTTTGCCAATGAAGGGATGTTTGGGCAGACAGTCACCAGCCCTGATGCCCCACGGGCTTCGGTGCAGACCCAGCAGGGCTGGCAAGGGAAGGGTTAAAGGCTGCTGCAGGGGGTCTGGGGGGAACAGCCGCCAATTTGTAGAGGTCAGGAGGCCACTCCTTCCTCCCAGGTGATATCAAATGCTGTAGGGACAAAGGGACAAAAGGGGAGGGAGATTGACAGGGGTGCTGGAGGGGGGCTGCACCCCAAGGGAACACCCCACCCCCACCCTGAGAACAAGTATGGTGGGGGGGGTCAAAGGTCAGGGCGTTGGGATTGGATTATGGCTTTGCTTTTCACCTGGAGAGCAAAGCAAGGCCAGGAGGCTCCCGATCCCGATCTGCTCCTATGGGGAGGGAGGCTTTGTAAGGTGCAGGGCTGGGGGGTGAAAGCGCAATGGCAAAGGCCATTGTGACTCCCAGACAGCCTATCCCCAGGAGGGCCACAGGTACCTCTGAACAGCCCAGTAGGGAGACTCTCCTGGGACCTCTTGAGCTCAGCCTATTGCCGCAGAATGCAGGCCTCAAAGGATTTGAGATTCAACAGAGAACAATGTCAGCCAATTAGCTACCTTGTGCATGCTTGGGACAAATGAAGCAGCCATGTCCTGGGTGGCCCCAGGTTCCCTCTTGAAATCAAGTGGGGCTTTGCTTAAGCCACCCGCCATCCAGTCATTAATCTGAATTCATCTTTTAGGGTCTGCTTTGTTGTAGAATTGGGAAGTAGCCCCAAAGCAAGGGACTCTGTGAAACTCTTACTCCATCCCACATGTAGGCATCCATCATGTCCAGGAGGACAGGGGTGTGTGCGTGCCTGTGTGTGTGTGTGTGTGTGTGTGTGTGTGTGTGTGTGTGTGTGTATGTGCTTGCACAAATGTGCATGTGCACCTGTATCTGTGCATGTGAATCCAGGTGCCCTTGGAGCCTAGAGACCTTGCTTCTCCCTGTGGCTGAGGTAGCAGGCAGTTGTGAGCCACCCAGCATCCATGCGAGAAACCTAACTTCAGTCTTTGACAAGAGTGGTACATGCTTTTCCCTCTGAGCTACCTCCAAACCAAACCCCACATTGCTCTCAGATGAGTCTCTTACAGGAACTGAGCAACTAGACTGGCCAGGGAGCTCCTGCGGTCCTCCTGTCTCCACCTCCCAGGGCTCAGCTTTTACATGGATGTGAGGATTGAACTTGGGTCCTCAGGCTTGTGCAGCAAGCTCTTTATCCACTGAGCCATCTCCCCGAGCCCTGGAAGGGCTGCTCTTGTTTGTACTAAATCATTTGCTTAGACGAATCTGCATGGTGGCCCCAGGCTCAGTATCTGCTGCCGGAAGCAAGTCCTCCAGTTCTGAAGTCCGCCCCAAGGGCCGCACACCCGACTCTGTGCACCTCATCTGTTTCTATGCTGACTGCAGGGGCCACAGAGCCCATCCGGATGCCAGGGCCGAATCCTGTCCCTGGCTGCATCTGGGTTTCAAGGGTGTCAGCTCAGGAAATGTGTAACTGTCTTGTTAGTTGTTGAAGCAACAACAGCCACTCACAGGCTGGGTGCTCGCCTAGCACACAGGAGCTCTCTCTCCAGCTCTGGAGTGGCGCTCCCTCCCGCCTTTGTTTGTTTGGAGACAGGCAGGGTCTCAAATGTAGTCTGGCTGGTCGACTCTGTAGACCTGATTGCCTTGATGGCCTCGAACTCATGGAGATCCACCTGCCTCTGCTTCCTGAGTACTGAGATTAAAGGTGTGTGTCACCACACCCAGCAGATGCCTGGGTTTTTCTTAAACACTTACCCTGGAGACCTCACTCCTCGTCTTGATTATCCTTCTGTGAATCCATCCCATATGTTCACTCTAAGGACCACAGCCCACTGGCCAGACTGTCCCAAAGCTTCTCTAAGACTGTCATTTACAGTTTACCACAATTCTGAAGCCTGTCTCCACATTATGTTTTTTGTTTTGTTTTGTTTTGTTTTGTTTTGTTTTGTTTTGTTTTGTTTTGTTTTGAGACAGAGTCCCTCTATGTAGCCTTAGCTGGCCTGGAAATTGCAACATAGACCAGGCTAGCCTTGAGCTCACAGAGATACCTGCCTCTACATCCCAAGTGCTAGAAGCAGAGGCGTGCATCCCTTGACCAGCTGCCTGTTTCCATTTAATGGATAAGGAAACTGAGGCCTGGACGGGTTCATAGGCTCACGACCACTTCACATAGACATGTGGCAGAATCTCAGCTGGGTTGGTGTTCAAGTGCGGTCGACCCTCGGAATTCCAGTGAGGTTTGGCCCTCAGTAGGGTGGGTGAACCCTGTGTGTCCAAGAGTTCTGTAGCTGAGAAATCAACCAACCAAGGACTGAAAACACTCAAAGAAAAAAAAAAAAGGGTTAGCAAGATGGTAAATCCAGTAAAGGTACTTACTGCCAAGCTTAATGACCCAAGTTCAATCACTAGGACCCAGTCGTCCTGTGACCTTCCAATGTAAGCCATGATACACACACCCTCCCCTGTCACTGCCCCCCCACACACAATAAATAAATAAATGTTTTAAATTTTTCAGGAAAGAAACCCTTGCATATCATACAGTAACACACACCTGAATCCCAGCTGCAATCAGAAGGTCAAAAGTTCACAATCATCCTTGGTTAGGTGGTGAGTTTGAGACCAGCCTGAGCCACATGAGACCTTGTCTCAAAAAAAGTGGC